ATAGTAGAGTGTGTATATGATAAATAGCTGATAATCGAAAATAAATCGTGTAAAAATAGGCAAATGATGTATAACAAAGGTTAACAATTGATAATGAACACTGTGATAAATAAGACGAATTGTTTATCTATAAGAAATCGGAAACAAATCAGCAGGGTTTATTCATTAACAAATAAAATACAATATTACTGCTAGAGTTTGGAACCGGATGCACCATCCGGTTTTAAATCCGGTTCTACCCGTTTTTTTAATGATTCGGTTTAATCCGGATTTATGTTATAAAAACCGGTTTGCATTTAAAACGAGTGCAACCGGATGCCCAAACCGATTTGATATTAATGAAAATTTATGCTTAATATATCCGATCATTTTTATATAGATTTTAAAAATTAGATTAGCAAATTTGCAAATTTTACAAATAATATGTATATTTAATGGAAAAAAATAATGAAAAATAAAAATTTAATTATTAAATCATTTTACTATATAAATACAATTATTTTTCGCAAATAACTGAATGAATGATTTTAAGTGCTGATTATTTGCACAACAAAAATATCACTTTATTATTTAATAAGCAAAATTTATACAGAAACCTAAGTTACATATAGCTACTAGGCTAATTTAATGGAGGAAAAATATCAAAAATATCACTATTTCTCTTTAAAAACAACATTTTGTTTACCAACTCTGGAGATAATCGGGTCCGCCTAGCAGATATGTGATTGCCAGCATCAGAGAATAGACGCTCACTAGGTACTGATGCTGCAGGGATGGATAAATACTTTCTTGCAATTTGAGCTAAAATTGGTAAAGTAATCTCATTAACTGACCACCACTTTAATGGATCATCCTTCAATCTGACTTGTTTTTGTTGCAAATAAAGCATCACTTCATCATCATCTTGCACTCTTTCCTTATTAACTTTTAGTGCTTTAAAAATATCATCATCATCATCTGAAGAGCTTATAATACTATTGATACTATTTCGAGGTAGAAAGTCCTTTTTTGCATTATACAATTCTTGAACTAATTGTTTAGCTTCATCCTTACCATTACCATTACACCAATCAAAGTTTTTGAAGCGGGAATCCAGAAATGTTACAACAAGCATAATATTAGATGGCACTGTCCAAAGCTCATCTAAAGATAAAAAAATGGCAGCACGAACTTTTTGCAATAAACCTTCAGTATTTACTGGCTGTAAATATTCTACAGTATTTATATCATCCAAATTTGATTCAACTGGATGAGATGTGGATGCACCACCCCTTCTACAACCTCGACCTAGACTCTGACCTCTATTTAGTGTATTTCCACATCTTTGGTGGTGAAATTGAAGATGTGAATGCTGCCAATATTGTCTTGTTCCAACTGATGGAATATATTCATCATCACTAGCCACATCAGAATCCTCTTCTTCACCATTAGATCCATAAATTAAACTAAGATAGGTATCTAAGGTTTCATTTTCTTCCTCATTTGGTGCAAAATTATTTTTAAGTAAATACATATATGGAACAACAAGACTTAATGTTGGATATTTTGCACCACTAATTTTACGTGTTATAGTTTCAAAAGGTTCCAAAGTGACAATCATTTTCTGGAGAAATCTATTATTAAAAATATATAAACATTAATGAAAGAATTTAATTTGTCTAAAAAAAATAAATAAATTTACATTTTTTCATCTGGACTTAAACATAATCGTTCTAGCTTTTCACCTTCTTTTTGAGATGCTCAGTCAGAATTTAAGAGTAAATCTGTAGATACATTTCTCATGAAATTATGTAACTCAAGAATTCATTTCCACGCTAAGTATGTAGAATTCCACCTAGTTTTGACATCTGTCAAAACTTCTAGTGGATTCATATATTCATTTTCAGATAAATTTATTTGGAAATTTTGTTGTTGTGCTGAATGAAGTCTTTCAGCCTGTTTAGGTAAGCAAAAAAAGGTCTGTAAACTTTTTATTCGACGATGGAATGCTTTACATTGCTTTAAACCTTCCATTACTGAAAGTTGCAAAGTATGTGCAACACAAGACTGGTGTTGAATTTGGTCAAGATAATTTTCTTTTAATAAACGAACTGCTTTTACCATATTCATTCCATTGTCAGTTGCTACTGTAAAAGCTGTTTATTTCAGATTCCAACTTTCTAATATTTGAAATAATTCTTCACAAATAACCTCACCAGTGTGAGGATAAGGAAGGTGGTTGCATGATAATAGAGTTTCTTGAAACTCAAAGTCCGCAGTTAACCATGTTGCAGTCACACCAAGGTAACCATGTCGGGATTTAGATGTCCAAAGATCAGTCGTCAGGTGTACTGTTACTGCTGTATCTTGTAATAAGGATTGAAGTTGTTTTTTACTCCATGTGTATGCTAAAAAAAGCATTTGTTTAATAGATTTATCACAGGGAATTTTATAACCCGGTTCACATGTTAATACAAGATCTTGAAATGCTTGATTTTGTAATACAAATAAAGGTTGAACATTTTTGATAATAAAAGCAGTAACTTTTCTGGTGATTAATTCTTGTCATTTAGGAGAACATGTTGTCGAAGGATGATTTGCGAGTTCAGCAATTGGCTAATAGATAATATTTATAGTTTATAAAAAATTTTTGTACGACATAATCACATGACTTAATTAAAAAATGAAATACCTCTTCGTGTTCATCCAGATATTCTGAATAATTATCCTTAGTTATATTATGTTTATCTCTTAAGTGTGCTATGAGATTAGTTGTATTCCCACCTTTCCGACTATAGCCATAAGCTCTTTTATTTGTGTTGGCAAAATTTGATTCACAAATTTTACAATAGGCAAAATCACCATCTACGCGAAAAAAAAATATTGTATGGCTGCGGTTTTTTCGTGTTGAGGAAATTTGCTGAAGTTGATTTTGTATAATGGTATAACTCTCACTTATCGTGGAATTAGTATCATCAATCGTTTCAGAGTCAGAAAATGTGTATGGTGAACTTGACATTTTAATAGCAAAAAAAGAATGTCTACAAGTTTTTAGAGAATGCGGTGATTTAAACAACTACATGTGAGAATTATTTTATGAATTCATTGTGAATTTTCATGAATTCATGGAATTCATGTGAGAACTATTTTGATTATGATGTAGTTTGTTTGGAAAAAATTAGCCGCAGCCTAATCCCGATCTGGTTTAGATACAGATCATTGTATAATTTCATAAGGAACGTGCAGCTCATTATTTATTCGTTATAGTAAAATGAAATGATCTACATCACGTGATCATTAAGCTGTTTATTTTGTTTAAAAAAAATGATATGTAATTGATAATTAAATAAATATAAACCGGGTGTATAAATCGGTTTCAACCGATTTTGCAAAAACCGATTTAAAAAGGGTCCAACCGGTTGCACCCGTTTTAAATTTGGTTTTCAAAAATGCAACCGGTTCCAAACTCTAATTACTGCCTCTATCGGAGCTCTGTAATATTCATGTATCTGTCTCTTTATAAAATAAAACCACACACCTTCCCAAATCCTACACAAATCGATTCTTATATATCGTTCAAAATCCGGTACAAATTTATCTATCGATCAAATTCACCGTCCGGCCAATTTTGCCCTCCGGTCAAATTCACCGATCGGACAATTTTAGCCACTCCTAGTATCTTAGCCATCACCTCTTATAAACTATACACTATATATATATATATATAATAAACTATAAATGTAGCCTAAAACTAATAATAACCTATATATGGGCATGCATCAGTTAAAAAGGGGAAATCTACGTTTTCATCATTTTGAGAAAAATGAAATTAACTTATTTGCAAGAAAAAACATTTTGCTTTTGTGCGTCAGTTAAAAGAGGGGAATTTGGTGGCTAAACTTTTATCCATATCATGTGACTTCACCTTCATCATTTACGTCATGCTATTGCTAAATAAGGAGGTCGTCTAAAGCAGGGCAAATCACGTGACTTCGAAAAAAATTGTTTTCATAAATAAAACTTTTTACCATATATTCAACCATTCTAAACACACATTTTAAATGCATTTTTGCCTGCTCTGCAAGTTTACTTAGAGCGCAGAGTAGGGTTTTGAATGCTGTTTTTGATTTATTTGACTTTTTCAATTTCGTTATCCATTTTTGGATATGATCGGCAAAGTTTCGTTCATTCATATGTAAAGTCAAAAACAATATTCATAATCCACTTTTTTCCTTAAGTAAACTTGCAAAGCAGATAAAAATACGCTTATATTATGATTTTAAAGTTTCTATTAATCTTTCTTTATAAAAAATTAATCTAATTAAAATTACACCGAATCACGTGATTTGCCCCCGCTTTAGACGACCTCTAAATAAGTCAATGATCGTCAAATAATCAAATGATCGTCCCTATCCCTTAAATGATAGCTATTGTTCTAAATTCCGCGGAATTTTTAGGATTTCCGCAGAGGATTCCATGGAATTTCATTGTATTACAGTTTAGANCCTACCTATCCCTTAAATGATAGCTATTGTTCTAAATTCCGCGGAATTTTTAGGATTTCCGCAGAGGATTCCATGGAATTTCATTGTATTACAGTTTAGATCGGCACATGAGTAGTGGTAAATCGCAGCCAAATTTAGCTGCAAAACGCTTTAAGGGATAACATATTTCAGTTATTTGATTTTATTTCGATAATTTATTATGCTTATCGGCATACAATATTAAGTGAAAATAGTGTACATTGATGGTTTACACAATATAAGCCAAAAACCTCAAATTTGGTTTTGAGGTAGATTTCCCCTTTTTAACTGACGCACGCCCATATATATAAAAAAAAATATCCCATAATAATATCATTTATAAATTTAAATTGAAATAGATAGACAAACTGAAATTTTTAGAATCTTGTTAAGGTAATAGGTCAAAATACAATAAACAATTTATTTAAAGTAAAAAAAAATAATATATAGATACAGCTTTTTAATGTTTTTTATTTTAAAAGCTAAAACTAATAATATTTAATCTGTAAATTTTTTATATTTTTTAATTAATATTTTCCTAGTTGATGATGATGATGTAGATGCAAAGCTTTTATTTTGCCTTTCAATTGTTGCTTTCTAAAAATTAACAAATTGATTTTAGATTATTAGTAAAAAAACATTAAATTATATAACATACACATACCTCAATCTCATTAAGCAAATATACATAACTACTATAAGCATGAGACACTAACAAACAGGTAGGAAATAATTTTTTAACTAATTCTCTCTTCATATCACTAGTCCACAAATTTAATGTAAAATCTAAGAAATATATATATAAGCCCATATTTTCAATACCTGAATCAATCAATAAAAATCTATAAATGAATCTTTTTAAAGCAAGAACAAATGCTTTAGCAGGAATAAGTCGTTGACTTTGATTTTCTGAATCATCATAATCTATAATATTATTAATTGAATCCATTATCTGCTGTGTTAGAGAAATTTTAAATTTTTCATCAATATCATGAATTACAGAATTAGCAGCTTGTTCTTCAATTAATTCATAAAATGCAATAATATGTTTTAAGGAAAATTCTTTAAATATATCTGTATATGTTATATTATATCTTGCTAACTTTAACCATTGATTAACTAAATCTAAAATGAGTATATTATTATTTCTAATCAATAATTCTTTAATGAAACAAAGAATGATTTCACAAAGTAACAGTAATTCAGATAAATTAATTGAATTTGATGAACTATTTAAAATTATTGATTGTTGAAACATTGCTGATATGATTAACATTTTATCTGCCAAAATAGATTCTTGAGATAAGATTTTTTTGACATCAAAAAGAATTCTTGGAGAATTATGAAATAATTCATGTTTGAATGAAAATTTTTTTAAGTAAAACTGATTATTTTCCATTTCAAAATAGACTTTGTTAAAAACCAATTTTTTTGATAATTTCATTTCAATTTTTTGTAAATCAAATATAAAATCTACATCTTTTTTCATATCCAGATTTCTTTGATTATACCTTAAAATTTTATCATTCCATTCATAATTGATAAAGTTATTATCTAGTGCTTGTACTACTGTTAATACATTAAAATATGTTTTAGAATTCAAATAATTCCAAGAAAAATCTTTTATAAAGTTAAGACTTTTACATTTTTCAATTGGAATAGTCATAACATTATTTAAAAATTCATTATGTAATTTAATTAAAAATTCTACAATTGCACATAAATAAATTCCACTATCTTTTTGCTCAACCAATCCAAAAATCACAGGAAGATCAAGAGTCATATATGGCTTGTCAAAAAATTCCTTAGATTGATATTGATTAATATGACTAATAACAGAATTCCAGCTAAAAGCAAATTCTTCAAATAAAGATTTTAAATTAATATATTCACTATTATCAACTGATTCTTTCTTAATAAATTCATGAAATGTCATAATTTGAGCTGCTTTTCTAGTTAAATGATATTCAAGTTTAGAATTCAAAATTTTCACAAACTTAATAATTGGATAGAGATATTTAATGAATTTCAAGCTTTCATAATGTTTAAAGAATACTGAAAGAAATGGATATTCATTTAAGTTATTACTAATATAAAAAGTATAAAAATCTTCAAAATTTACTTTTCTAACTGGTTTCCAAAGTTTAGGAAGAAAGGTATTTATTTCTATATCAGCAATAATACTTTCAAAACATGAAAATTCTTTCTTTAATATTTCAAGTTGTTCTATATCAAAAGAACTTTGTTTATACAAATCTAGCATAAAATAAGACTTTATTGACTGGATAAATAGATGTCCACTAATTTTCATAATATCATTAATTTCATTAACTAATGATTTAGATATAGAATTATTTTCTTGAAAGTAATTTTTCCAGTATTTATTTATAAATTCTTTTAAAAATGCAATTGAAGTTATTTGTTGTAAAGGCAAATATTCTTGTTTCATAAGTGATTTAATTGAATTCTTGAAATAAGGTAACATTTCATTCATTTCAAATCTATTGAAAATAGATTGAATTATTTCACAGCAAAACTCAGCCATATTTGAGTTAATATCATTAATATTATCATTGATAGTTTTCAATCTAATTGAAAGTTGTAAAGCTTCTTCAGGATTCTTAATTAATGTAAAGAATATTTGTTCATTCTGTTGAATTTCATTATTAAATATTTTTTCAATTATACCATTATTCATCAGTTTGAAAGAATATTGTGAAAATATATTTTTATAAAGAGTTAAACGAATTTCTGATTCCAAAGAAATAAGTTTAAGACTTCTTGTAATAAATGATGTAATAGGAATTTTATCATTTTTATTATCTAAATTACTAAATACTAAATTGATAATTTCATTTGTAATAAATTCTTGCTTTTTGGCGGATTTTCCTAAATAAATAATTTCTTTGATTTTTTCTAATGGAACTGAATTAATATTTAATAAATCATTACATAATAATAATAAATGCAAATTCGAAAAATTCTTTGAATCATTAATTCTACAATTATTTATTGATAAAATAACATCCATATCTTGCTTCCATGGTTTATCATCACATAAATTTTGTAAAATCAAGTTAATTGATTCATTGAAAAGAAATCGATCAAGTTTACCATATACAATGAAATCATTCTGAGCTTTTGTAATAAGATCTGGAAATGTTTCAACTAATTTCAATTGAGTTAAAATTTCTGTTGCATATTTCCACCAATAAATATGAAGAATAAATGGATCATCGGCAAATTTATCTCCAATTAAGTACCTAAAAATAAAATCCAATTTTTCTTTACTAGCCAATTTTATAATTCTAATAAAATCATTGTAGTATAATTCTGAACATTTTTGTAATTTATCAAAATTTGGATGAATAAAAATTAAGCTATTTCTAAAATCTTCAATATGATCCTCAATTAATTCATTAATATTTTCAGAGTCTTGTGTTAATATATCCAATTCTTCAAAATAATATCTTTTATAATAATTAATTTGAAAATGATATGAAAAAGGATATTCAAGGTCACTAATTATTTCGGACAGAACTATAGATAATCTTAGCTCAAATAAATCATCAACATTAACTATTTTATCTATAAAGGATTGTTTCCATAGATGAACTCCCTTTTCCATTTTAAATTCATTGCTTTCATTTTTGAAAATCCTTGTAATTTCCGGCAATTTTTCAATTGAATATAAAACTTTATAAGCCGTTTGTTTGATAATTTTTTCAATATAATTTTGTAGTGTTAATGAAAAGCAAATAAACATTGATAAATCCTTTTTATTTAGAGCTGCTTCACATTGCCAATTTTTGTGATTCTCTAAAATCCACTCAAATGTTTTTGTTTTTATACATTGTATGATATACGAATCATTTAAAATTTCTTTTCTTAATGTTCTGTAAAAATTAATAATATTAACGTATTAAATTAATTCCAATGATACGAATGTAATAATGAAAAATAAATTATTATACCTAACATATTCCACATGACTTTCATTAGAATGATAATGATCTTCCAATAATAGCTCTTGTAAAATTTTTTCAACCGGCATCGTTGAATTCATTATCTTATCACAAAGTTCCGAATTAATTATATCATATAAAGATTTGTCCAGTAGATCTATTAATGGTATTTCCGATGGTGCTAAGGATTCAATAGTAATTCGCCTCCATCCGCAAATAAAGTTAGATGTTATTGAACTTGATTCATAATCTCGCTGAATATGAAATATTATACATGTGTATTTAATATGCATATTTGATTCACACTTCTCTTTCTTAGCCAAAAATTCATTACGAAACTGTTCAACAATGTACTTTACTAATTTGATACATTTTGTATTAATAGTATTATTATCGTATTGAAGAATTAAAACCTTATCGTTTGATTCAAAAAAGAAATTTTTCACTATACTTGTTAATTGAAATTCGGTCTTAATGGTCGATAAATTATAAACTTGGCATCTTAAATAATCTTGTAAACAATACTTGATATCTATAGTTATCTTAGAAAATGTGTTTATAATCACTAATTGTTCTTTGGGATCTGCACACAATTTTTCTTGATAAAATAATACGTCAAAATAATTAGCAAGGCTATTGTGATGTTGTTGGTTGAAATAAACATACTTCCATCGATCAACCTCATCTTGTTCTAAAATTGATGATTTTGCTCTTATAATTCCATCAGGAGATGCTATTGCAATTAACGATTCTTTGCATTTTTCTAAAATCTCATTATCGTTAGCTTCGGGATTATTCCTTGTAATGTCAAAAACTAAACTTTGTAAAGTTTCATCTACATCAAATCCGATGAACAAATCCTTTTGAGTGAACCCATTATATAATTGAGTCACTGAATTAGCCCCAATCAAAGTTAACATTTGCTTTGTCCAACTGTCTAAATACTTTACAAGTAAATTTTGCCTATCATTGAGTATACCATTTATTGGCAATTTTTGTTTTTCAAATCGATTAAGAAGTGAGGGGTTAGCCGAAGCTAAATTACTCTCATCCATAACAACAATGCATCTAAAATTTGGTGAAACGTAACTAACAAAAATATAGATTAGAAATTTTCTTTTGAAAATGTATTTAAAACTCATACAATGTAAATCATAATTTCCAATAACTACTTACAGCATAGGATTAGCATATGCCCCAAGAGCAACTCGTGTAAAGTACTTAGGATTCTCCTTGTCTCCTACTACAATATAATTTTGATTCCATAAATCATAAAGGTTTCCTATTAAACAAAAAAACAAACAAAACAAATTTATTTCTTTGATTAATAAATTTATATTAGATTTTTCATATCTGAAATGTTAGTAAAATTTAGAAATTACCATAAAGTATTTCTAAGTCTGTTAGAATCAATGGTCTACCTGCTTCTACACACATCTGAAATAATAGTATACATCAATTCATACGTGTACAACAAATAGATTAAAAAAAAAAAAAATTACAGTGGAAAGATAAACAAATTATTTACCATGATTCTACTTAAAACACTGTAAGAATAATCATCCCGATCGTCAGGAAACTGTGATCCTAAAATTACAACGGGATCCAAATCTCTTCGTTTTAACTTTTCAGTTAATAAATTTACGATCAAGTCACTTTTACCAATAACCACTAAATGACGTGCATCAGGATCATCTAAATTTGAATCGATCAATTTTTCGACAGGAATTTGTTTATAAAACCATGGTTTATGATTATTAAATGTCTTAAGTACATTTCCAAAATATTTTTCGCATAATTTGTTATTTTCCGTTCCTCCAAAATTGCGAGCCAATGCCATTTGAATATTCTCTGGAGTCATTTCATCTAATGAAAGCCGCTTGACCAATGCGTAATAGTCACGAAAACCATGAAAGTTAGGCAAAGCTTGACCATTTTTTTCGTAATCCATATATGATTTAGCTAAAGGTTCTAAAGCGCCTCTTTGTCCATAATCAATAACCCTTGTATTTAATAAGCGCTCAGCAGTACAAACTAAATCATCTAAACTAAATTGTGGCCTATAAAAAAAATATTAATGTATACTATATAAGAAAATCTTGCAAAATTTTATAAATTATACTGATAATAATACCTCTGAACGAGTAATGCGCGGCTACTTTTACTGTTATCTAAGCGCCAATTAGATATTCCTATCACTGAAACAGCTGGTCCTGTGGCCGGATAGCTTGGCTCAAGCAGAGAATGAAGTACCTTTAATGGATTAAAAGGACTTGTTTCAGCCAAATCAACTAATAAATTTAAAATCATAACGAATAAATTCGGTTAATTTCAATCATAAAAGGATAACACAAAACAAATCATATGGAAAGTGAAAATCACCATTATCAAGTAAGACCACACCAATGACAGGAAATTGTTTGGAAGTTGTTTCTTGATATTTATTTGCCTTATCAAAAACCTTTATTATACCATCAGAAGTTGAAAAATGACTGCCTTGATGTGGGATTAAGTAAATCTGTGGCAACATTCTGAAATATCTATCATTTGAATCAGATCCGCGTAAATTCGAACTTATAAGACGAATTGCCAAAGATTTTGAAGAGCCAGTGTTACCTATAAGAAACAGTGGGATTCGTGTCAAAATGCATGCAATCATAGCAAAAACATTCTCTAATAAAGCTTCATTATATGCCGTATTAGGTGGATACTGCATCCTGTTAATATAATCCTCTTGTTCTTCGCGTATAATTTTAGAAAACATATTTTCTTCTACATAAATTTCGTGATTTCGTAATATTTGTTCCATCTCACAGCGATATTGTTTACGTAAATCTTGTTCATATAACCGAGAATGGTAACAAAGACTAAGTGCTAAAACATAAGATCTAGTTGTTATAGTTGGATTTCCAGGTGGTGGATATCTATGTCCCTTTCTGTAGATTGGACGATTTTCGAGAGATTTATAAAAGAATTTCACTAACGTTATAGCGCGTTTAACATCACGCAAGCTAACACTATATGATTCTTCAACCTTTCGAATAAATCTTTGAGAAGCAAATAAAAGTTCGGCAAATACGGGATGTCCTAATTTTTTTAATTCTTTTTCAATCATGATTTCAATATACTTTAATTCGTCTTTTGGTCTTAAAACACCATAGTCCCATACATAATCCAAAAGTTGATCGGGAAGTGGTTTGACTTGATAAACAAGATGACTCCGTTCTTCGTACATTTTAGCCTTATTTGTCAAACGAGTTTCGCTTTGAGTTCTTGTACGAATACGATATGGATTGCAGGCAGAGAATAAACGAATATTTGGATGTATAGGTTTGCCATTAAGCATTCGACGAGATATTAAATCTGCAAGTAAACCTATATGATTACAAGTATTGATCTCATCAAAGAATAGCCAAATTTCTCCCTTTTCTGCTTTTTTCAAAGCATCATTCATAAATAACATAATAATTCTTTCATCAACTCCAGCATGCATATTAAGAGCCATGAATTGAACTTCAGCAATCAAGGCCAAATAGGCAATTAAGCTTGTCTATGTATTGAAATAAAAACTGCTGTTAATAACGGAACAAACAAAAATTATCTAAAAAGATTTTTTTTTTACCTTGCCACACCCTGCTTCACCACAAACTATAACTGGAATGTTTGCACGTACTCTTAAAAGAATTAAAGCCATTTTTATTAAATTATCACCAGACAAAGCATATTCAGGAAGTTCTAATTTTTCCACTGATCTTCTTGCCAAATATTCTAACTTCAAGAAAAGAGCTTCTGGAGACGTCGAACTATAATCATCTAATTCCCATTTTGTTTGATCACCAATTACTTGACTTTTTAGCAAAGTCTTTATATTTTCATGAACTTTATTTCTGTCTCGATACAAAACAGATATTGTATCAGGAGTCTGAGAATTGAAAAATACTATAAGATGATTTGAGTCGTCCCATTGAACAATTGTACCACGATGAGCTTTTACAACATCAGCATCTATAGCACTTGTAGATTTCAGCTGTGCCTCTTTTGTTTTAATAGAATTGGTTGCAAAATCTCTTGAAACATCTATTAAGTTTCTTAATATAAGAATTCTAATGTTATATTCTTCTATTAATTTAAGTTTATCTACGGGAAAGAATTGGCTTGATGAAAATCGAACCAATTGATCTGCAAGTACATTAATAAATATTTCAACAAATCTAAATGAAGGAAGGTCTTTAGTAATTTTATTAAATAAATATTTCTCAATGATATTTTGACAACGTTCTACTGATAATGGTTCTTTAATTGCCTTATGTACTATCTTGAAAAGGTTTTCTTTCGTATCTATTTCATTACTATCCAATAAATTCAGATAATTACAAGCAACTTGAATTGGACTATGAATTTCTTGAGAAACTCTCAAATTTTTAATATTCCAAGTTAAATGATTGAACAATAAATATCCTGCCATGGGAAGAGAATTAAGTAAATGCTGTTCTTTATTTGAGGCTACTTCTAAATAAATATATGTAGGTGTTTCTGATAAAGGCAAGCAAACTATATCGACATTAGTTGAAACTATACCCAAAGTTAATAACTCAAATAAAAACATGTTAACGTCTTCAGGATAGTCAGATGAAATTATATTGATATGTAAACTTTCTACAGGTTGGAGTTTATATTCCTTGAATTGACGTACAAGCCTGCTAAAATCCATACCATCGCTTATTAAAAAACTACATGCAAATCTCTCTTTACTTAAACTATCTTCTTTAATCCAATCAGTTTTACCTTGCCCAGGTAATTCAGAAGAGACACGTATAACATTTTGACATAACTCCTTATAAATTTGTCTCATAGTATCAGTGTTTAAGCCATTAGTCACATAAGCATCTGAAGAGAATTGATCCAAAATAGGGTGATGCATTTCAATTTCTCTACAACAAATAAGTGCCAAAAAATAATCATCTTGATCTCGTGTTGATTTAATTTGGTTAATTAAATTAAATTGTAACTCAAAGTCTAATAATTCCAAATGTGCAATACAAAATAAGCGATTTTCATATCCATTATTCGATGCGAATAAACTTCTTTTTATGAAGTTTGTTATTTCCTCCATCGTAGTTGAAGTAGTACATATCAAGAGTTGCCACGGTTCGGGGTAATATCCTTGATTAGCATATAATGACATGATAATATTTGGAATTCGTGTTTTGTCAGTACAAGAAGCGACGAATATTTCGCCCTTTCTAACTAGATCTGTAATTATGCGTTGTCCAGTCGCTTTAAGTTTACGTGATTGTTTTGAGACGTTTTTAAAAATTCTTTCTAATTCATTTCCAATTTCGGTAAGAATTTCAAGATAATTTTTAGATCCACGTAAACTTTTTTGTATATCTTTACGAGTTGACGGTAATTGGGCTTTACTGTTTACAAATCTAATCAATATTTTGCATTCTTCTTCGTTATCCTTATCTAATTTTTCCGACGTGAAATAATCATAGAATGCTAAAATGTGGCGAGCGAAAAAGAATGTTAAATAATAACATCTTTGTTGTGCACTATCTACTATACTTTGCCTTAAATTTGTAAAAATTACAAACTCGTAATTTTCTTACAAGAAAGAATAAAAAAGCAATAATATTAAAAAAATTGAAATTCACCATTCTTTAAGTTCTTCCTTTAAAAATTTCAGGTAATCTNTTAGATCCACGTAAACTTTTTTGTATATCTTTACGAGTTGACGGTAATTGGGCTTTACTGTTTACAAATCTAATCAATATTTTGCATTCTTCTTCGTTATCCTTATCTAATTTTTCCGACGTGAAATAATCATAGAATGCTAAAATGTGGCGAGCGAAAAAGAATGTTAAATAATAACATCTTTGTTGTGCACTATCTACTATACTTTGCCTTAAATTTGTAAAAAAAAAAAAAAAAAAAAAAAAAAAAATGAAATTCACCATTCTTTAAGTTCTTCCTTTAAAAATTCCAAGTAAGCTTTCATATTATCCGTTCCTTGTAATTTATTTTCGAATTTTCTATAACCAAAATGCCCCATTTGTATTAACATGGACACTATACTAATTATTTTTTGTGCTATATCGACTTGGACAACAAATTTATCTATAACATCCTTGGACATTTCTGCCTCTTTGTTATTTATCATAACCGAATTTTTTGGTTTTGCAATTAAAAGAGCCCGTCCACGTAAATCTAATATTTCGTTTAGATTATATTTCACATTGGATTTAGAGGGATATTGTAAAGAAACTAAGCATTTGTCTTCTTTTTGGTCACGTGTAAACGTAAAAGTTCCGTTAAGTACAGCATACTTAATCTTTTCCTTAGTAACTTCTCCACGATTTTGAATATTATTGTACATATTTTGCAGCGCCATATTTCTACTATTACATAAGGCAATCTTTTCCCCTAAAGTAGGATTCTCGTCTATAACATCTGATAACGAATCTAAAAAGCCTACAATAGTTTCCTTTTTATTAATGTTCATAAAAGGTAATAAAAATCGCTTTACTTGAATAAGCGATACAAAAGTATCCTCTTGAATCAATCCTTCATCCGGATGGACATCCACACTATTAAACAAATTTCTAATATCATGCTCGGCGATTATCTTTAAAAAGCTTATAAAATCATCTGCATTTGATAACTCTTTTATTAATTTCCAACATTCATTATTAACGTTGGAAATATATCTATCAAGATAAGCGAAAAAATAATTTATTTGACTAAGTTTCATAGAATCATCTTTTAAAATATCAATAGATGATTTTAGCCAATCATCGTTACTACGTGCTATATTAAAAAGTTGTAAAACCGTTTCTAACTCTTCAAATCGTTCAATCCAGTGAGGAATTCTTGAAAGATGCTCAAGGGTTTGTACGAATTTGTGACTTATGTAACTTTTATAACCTTTTATTAAATCAAGTTCCGCATTAACATTTGTAACATTTCTACAAAACAAAGTCGCATCTGAAATTTTAAGTTTTTCCCATTCCTTAAATTGTTTACAAATAGTATTATATCTTTCAAAAACAGCTGGTATCAGTCTTTGCGCTATATTTTCCACGTTTGTGGCCGTAGTATCTTCCCGGATACAAACTTCAAAGATATTTCGAAAAGACCGAGACTGATTATATTTGTAGCAACGTATTGCACTTTCTAAAGTTTTTTTATGGAATGCCCAATAATCTAATGTCATTGCCTCTTTCAACATCACTTTATTTGAATTTGTCATAAGTTGTTTTACATCTTGGATGTAATCATCCACATCATCTACTTGGGAAGCTGGACAAAAGTTGGTATAAAACTTAAAAAGGACTTCAAGTTGAGTTTGAAAGTTGTTACAAAGCTTTCTAAGTTCCGCGATTTCGTCTCGCGAAACAATCACATCACCTATATTTTTCTTTTTGGAAACAGCTGCATTAAAATGCTGAAATAATTTTTCATTTTTATATTCCAAAAGCTGTTGCAATAATTGTATGTTAACCGTCTTTTCACGGAGTAATACACCGAGTTCATTAATAGATGCTTTAACACGTTTAACAACTGGATTGCAATGAAGTTTTGTAACATCACCAGTAGCACTTAATATAATTCTCCAAAATTCACTAGCTCCTAGAATATTTAAATGAAATTCCGAAGGATTTGATGCAGTAAACTGACTTTGCAATCTATTCATGATATGACACAAAATTTCTTCGCTCATCCTAATAAATTATTTTATAAAAAAATAGTTAATAGTTAATTAAATAAATACGATTTTTTTTTTTGAAGCAAAAAAATTCTACATCAAAACTCACGAGTTTTGAACCATCAAAAGCTTTGTTTTACAATCGCATATTATATATATTTTATTTATTAGTTGATCGTTAATTTGTTGAACAGACTTATTTAGCATTTCTTTAACCATATCTATAAACAATGTCTTGATTTCTTGTTCTATCGGAATTAAAAATTTTGTTGCGGCAAATATTCGAGATTCCGAGCACACTTTAACCCTTTCTACAGCAATGGTTGTCAAATTTTGCCAAAAATTTTTTCGATGACCAAGTAAGGGGTATATACGTTCTAACTGTGAAAATATTAAAACCACAATGTTATCCTTTTTATTGCTTGCGTTTGTATCAAGTTTGAGTAAAAGATTTTTAAACCAAACTACACAAATCTTTAATATCTTCTTCTCCTTATCAAAAAAATCATTACGGAACCACTCATCTAAAATTTCTGGAAATATGTTTAATAATTCTAAAGTGTTAGACTGAGATACCAGATCTAATGATAAAATAACATCTTCTCTAGTCCAATATAGTTCATCATTATGAAAAAGGTTTGTAATAGCAATGATATTTTCCTTTGTCCAATTTCTGTTCAAATCTTCAAGTAAAAATAAAGCATGAGATCGGAAAACTTTAGATAAATCATATCGATAATTTGCTGGTACTCTCTTAAAATGATATTCTAAAGTAACGGCATCATCATGAACGATACATTCTTGAATTTGTTCAATAAAACACTTATTAATAACATCATCAATTTTGTTATTATGAAGAAGGATATCATTCCAAAGATTAAATAGAGAATCCATATAATTACATAATTGAATTAACCACTATAAAAAAATTAAATCTTTTTAAAAATTAATCATAAGCTTTTGAAAACATAATAAAATTTACCTTTGCAATTTCGATGTATGATCCAAATTCAATGTTCTCAATATAAGGTTTAATGAGTCCACATCCTACAATAAATCTTGTTAAGTCATGATTATTAGAATATTTTAAGCCTTTTAAATGGTTAATGAAGGTGTAATCGGGATCAACTTCAGAAGCGATTGTAAAAATAATGAGCCAATCAAATTTCATCTGAAAAGCATTATGCTTGATTAAAGTTATGATAGCAGTATACATTTGATCTTTAGTGTCTAAAGGTAAAATTTCTTGCTTATAATACTCAAGTGAATAAAGAAATAAGTAAGATGGGAAATTATTTGGTAATTAATGAGGAGAGCCCTCTCTTTTTGAAATATAATACCCTAAGAGAATACATAAGAATAACCGTTTTTCTTTAAGGTTATTATTAATTCGATTGATAATAAATTTGGGATTTGAAGTGCGTATCGTTAGATCATTATGAAGAGTTAATAAACGTTGATATTCCACAACTTTGTCTTTAAAGTTATTAGCCTCGATAGAATCATAAATATAATCTACAAAAGCAAATCCACGTATTTTCCATATATCAAATTGATCATTTATCCCAATATTCAATGTGCGATTATCTTCAGTATCGATTCCTTCAAATTCAATTTTTTCTTCTCCAAATAACGTAGGTTTAGATGTATGAATAGCATATTTGTATTGAATTTTTTCAAAATTTGATACCGAAATAGTAACTGGATCAGATTTCCAATATGTTGGATTTTGAGGAAATGGTTGACGAAGTTTTACGATAGGATTTTTCCAGGATCCTAATTCTTTTACATCGCCAAGAACTACGGGCTGTCCATTTCTTTCAATGTTCTCCGGCAAAAGAATATGAAATGTAAATGACAATGTATTATTTTCCATATGACTTTTCTGAAAAAAATAAATAAATAAATAAATAACCTTTATGGTTATATATAAAATACGAAGTTTCACAAAGGCTGAAATTTTGTACTGCACAAACATAAGATAGACTTTCTGTACAATCTACTCAGGTGCAAATCACACGCAGATCACTATATACAGTAAAAATGGCGCATGAAACATCGATCATCACCATTTACTTCTTAGTGATAAACCTTCTTGAAATGACATCAGTTATTTTAAATGATGCTTATAATTATAATATTATTATTGAAGTCGGAGAAAACGAAAATAAAAAAGGATTTGCGCTACATTCAGTAATTTTGCTCATTCTCTTTATTTCAGAGGAGCATTTTCATTTTGTTTATTAAAAAAACAAAATGTCACGATCATTTTTAATAAACCAAATATTGGTTCAAATATTTTTTAATAATTTTATGATAGTAAGAATAATAAATAATTCATTTTTTTTTTAATAAGAACATTGCTAATCATAACGCAAGTGATGTCACCACAATATAGTCACGTGATTTGATAATGATGTTGCCTGCGGTTATACTTAGTTTTTCTTTTAATAATTAAGTAATAGTTATTTCACGGGGAACTGTGGATATCAATGATTTTCACGGCGCAGCCGTGAAAATCATGATATTCCAGTGACTCCGTGAAATAACTGATTTATCCCACGGTTCCGTCCTGATATTCCAGTGACTCCGTGAAATAACTGATTTATCCCACGGTTCCGTCCTTTTCTCCTGTGAGTTTATTTGATACTAGTTTATTTTTAACTATTATAAATAGTATTTGTCTAACTATTATTAAACTTTACTGCTTTCTTCTTTATTCCACTTATTCAAACCATAATGGTTAAAAAAAATAAAAAAACTTTACACAAATTCCCAAGTATACCTATATTTCAAAATTGTACCTTTTCAAATGTTTCTTTTTATATACAAAAATAGTTTCGATTTTATAATTCTTTATGTATAAATGCAAATAATATAATATCATTTTTATTTTCAATAGTATAATAATAAGTTTAACAATAAAAAGTATAATTTATTATGTGATATAAACATGTTGATCAGTTACCGTGAAAATATCAGTAAAAAAAGTTACAGAAATTGATTAGGAACCGTGGGATAAACTAGATTATTTAATGATAATAATATTACTAATATATATTTATTTACATTGGTGAAATTGATTTGACTGAACTATCCTGTAAATATATTCTTAAAATACAAATCATACTAATCGCATCAGACGAATTACTCATTGGAGATTATTTAATCATGCTCAATCAAGATTACATAACTGATAACCAATAGGCTGGTTTCGACGAAAATTTCCGTGCGTACTGCATTACTAGTTGTTAACTGGATTAATAAATAAGAATTCCGAGCTACTACTTTTCACAATAAGTCCAATGTTATTTATTATCGCGGTAGTATTGGTGGTATTAGTAACGAAAAATTTAAAAGTAAATGTAAAGGTCAAATGAATTAATTAAGGTCAAACAATCAAATAAAAACTTTGGTGGCTATCATCAATTGGGAATGATGTCACAAATTATGATTTATATTCAACGTCATTTTTTTCAGTGAAGATACTCAAAACATGAAAATAAGTCGTGTGATAAATTAATTAAATTATGGTACTATATATAATTGTTTAATATTGGATATGATTTTTGGTTTATAACTCGTTTTGTATAAAAATCAATATTTACATGTGATATTGGATCATGAAAATAATTTAAATACAAATGAAATTTACGATATTGAAGAAATTGAAACATTTATTATTAATTAATAAGTAAAATATAATATATATATACTGTACTGTAATTACTGTGTTGAATTTTTTTCACGTGCCATTTATAAGGTCGGTGATTAACATAAGCATAAGATAAAAAATTCCATCTTACATTCCTATTTCAAGTGGCATATGTAGAATTATGCTGTACACTAGATACCGTTCAATAAGAAGGTTGAAAAAAATAATAATATCATGATAAACGTAATCAAAAATTCCGATAATGACTGCTGCGGTTTGTTATTTTTTTTTTAATTTGTCATTCAATATTAATTTATCAAATAACTACCGCTTTTTTTTTTATAAAAAATCTTGTTAACATATAGAAAGATTAAATAATATTCATTGTAATTAATCTCAATGAGGTTTGGACAACTGCACTATAGAATTGGTAGTATAATTAACTGAACATTAATGGAATAAAATTCTCACCAATTATATCGATATCATACCATAAAATCTCTTAGTAAAATCTGCTTCAATAAATACGGTTGATATTCGAAGGGCGTTGAACTATTTAGTCATTTTAGCTTTTCTATTAATTGATATCGATCAATAATGACAATTGCATCAATCTCATATAAATTGTTTAAATTTCATTTTTCAAATATTTTTTTCAAAGAGATGTGATGTTTAAATCTCATTTAATTGATTTTCTTGCACCCCTGAAAAAACACTTCTCTTAATTTTTTCTTTGGAAACGAATTTCTTTAAGGTCATCTTTGAGGAAATCTTTTAATATTCACATGAAAACAAAAAAGCACAATTTATCAAGTTTTTAAAGATTTCGGAAATTTTAGTGGGAAAATGATTATTTAAAAATTAGATCTAAAACACATCCTAATATTGCCCAAAGAAACAAAACTAATATTTTCATTTCATTAAGCAAAAAGGTTTGTTCAAGGCGGAAATTTTTTTGGTGAGAAAAAAGAAAGGTGTTATGTGAAAGGGATGATGACAACATCCCGATGACCTATTGATTCCCTTAAATGATGATATACCATTTATCTTGATAAAAATGAACAAGGTTTGGTAACTGTAACGTAATTTTTTTAAATTTTAGAAAATTTGTATAACTTTAATCTTTTAGATTCCGCAAAGTCTAAAACGACGCAACCAAAACGAACAATGAAAACAAGGAGTAAAAGTGATGAAGAGGAGGAGGAAGAGGATTAAAAAAAATATTATATGATTAAATTATTTTATTACTTTTATAATAGTACATTTAAAAATTAGTGCTTTTGCACTTTATTATAATAAAATCAATTTTAATATGCAAATCAACAACCATTATTTTTAATTAAATTGGTTCAAATACATGTAAAAATATACAAATTACTTCATAAATATTCAAACTAGCATGAAATTAATATTTAAGCAACTCTACACCTGCTGAATGACTTGACTTTTATCTCCAAAGGCTTGTTTTATCTAAAAATACGCTGTAATGAATATTAAAGTTGGCTTGATAAAAATTAATAATTAATTCCACATTGTCCACAACTTTTCATTTATCAAAAGCACTGATAAAATCATTAGTCACCCTAACTGAAGTGTTATAATTTAATATCATAATGTCTGTAAAAAAAATACGTTTATTGTAAACAAAAATAGTTTACAGTTTAATACAGATATTCCTTCAAGAATATTTGATTTCTTTATCATTTAATATGAAAAAAAAAGAGTAACAAGTAATGATCGATTTCTGTGTGAGCACGTGACAATCGTGATCTGCGTAAGGTGAGGTCGTTACGTACTACCTTATATTATTACTCATTTACCCAATTTACGTTACCGACTCACTTTCTATATACTTTAAAAATATAAATTAATGGATTAATTGAATTGAAGAAGCCATTGTTAAAGAACACTAATACAACCAATTTAGCAACGTTCACGAAATTGGCACAGATTGAAAAATTTAAAAAAATTTTCGTTTTAAACTTCTTAACAATATCACCGTAAAAGAAATTATTTAGAGATAATTTAATATTCAATATTTAATAATTTTAGTCTATATAATCATATTTTATGTATCAATATTTGAACTTATTTAGTTAAAATTCAATGTAAAATTGATTTCCATGGTAACATTATTCGTCGCGGAATATCAAAATTGAATCGAAAATCATATTAGTAAAAATTATATGTTGCTAATGGATATTGCTGACGGTAGTAGTCTCCGAAATTATTTGAAGAACAGTTTTTTTAACATTGCTGATAATTTTTTAAAATTAGCTTAATAGTATGTAATAAATTTGATTAATTTGTATTTTTAATTTTTAAATAAAAAAATGAAATGAAATGAAATGAAAGTTTGTTACATTATAATATAGTATCATTTTTATAAAATTTTTCATTACACGTTATCATTATCCATGCATACATTTTAAATCCGGGCAGGCACCTAATTTAAATCGTTAATTAAATATACACTTGGGTTGGACTATCTGATATTAATCTTATTAATCTGAAAAATAACCTGATTAATAAAATACACAGTCAGACCAGCCAAACCTCTATACAATAATACAAACTTATTTACTAATTTACCATTTATATATCCTATAATATACATATTATAAATTATTATAAATTATTAATAGTTTATCTACTACTACTTAGTAGTAATAATTGGCCATAGAAATACAAGTTGTAGCATTCTTTACCTATTTATTTTGGAAAATAATCTTCATTATTTGATTACCATTAAGACAAACTGAATCACTATACGACATGCGTTGTTTAAAAACTCAAACATGTCAGTTTATCCTTTTCACATGAAGTTCTCGTTAGAAGTTAGAACTTTCAAAATTAAAAAATACTGATTAAATTTTTTTCGATCTTTCATTCACTTCAAAAAAATTTAACGTGATTCACGTGTAATTTATCGTTATTTGATAATTTGATATAATATATAATTCGATCAATCATTATACTTTAACATCAATTTGATTTTACATCCATACTAAAGTATATTGCTTTATAATCAACTTGATAACATACAGATTCGTCGATAAATTGATCAAATACGTTGTCACTATATTTATATCATGTATGTAATAGAATTATTATTTTATTTATATATGTTTTTAATTTACTATACAGAAATAAGAAATAAAAAATCCATCAGATGATAACTCAGATTCACTAAATATGAACAAGAACTACACATTAATTTTATAAATTTCATTGCTAGAATTGAGCATTTATATATATAATTCATAAATTTTAAATTGGAACAGACAAATAAACTGAAACTTCTAGTAATAATAGGTCATAATATAATAAACAATTTATTTAGAACAATAATAATAACAATAATAATAATAGATACAGCTTTTTAATATTTTTATTTTAAAAGCTAAAACTAATAATATTTAATCTGTAAATTTTTTATATTTCTTAATTAATGTTTTCCTAGTTGTTGAAGATGTGGATGCAAAGCTTTTCTTTTGCCTTTTATTTGTTGTTTTCTATAAATAAACAAAATAATTTTAATTTATTAATTATTAATAAACATTAAATTATATAAAATATACATACCTCATTATTATGTAAATATACATAACTATTATAAGCATGAGATACTAATAAGCAAGTAGGAAATAATTTTTTAATTAATTCCCTATTTATATCACTAGTCCATAAATTTAATGTAAAATCTAAAAAATATATATACAAGATCATATTTTCAATATTTGAATCAATTAATAAAAATCTATAAATGAATCTTTTTAAAGCAAGAATAAATGCTTTAGCAGGAATAAGTTGTTGATTTTGATCTTCTGAATTATCATAATCTATGATATTATTAATTGAATCCATTAATTGTTGTGTTAATGGAATTTTAAATTTATCATCAATATCATGAATTACAGAATTAGCAATTTGTTCTTCAATTAATTCATAAAATGCAATAATATGCTTTAAAGAAAATTCCTCAAGTATATTTATAGATGTTATATTATATTTGGCTAATTTTAACCATTGATTAACGAAATCTAAAATAAGTATATTATTATTTTTAACCAATAATTCTTTAATAAAACAAAGAATAATTTCAAAAAGTAATAGTAATTCAAATAAATTAATTGAATTTGATGAACTATTTAAAATTATTGATTGTTGAAACATTGCAGATATAACTAACATTTTATCTGCCAAAATAGGTTCCTGTGGTAAGATTTTTTTGATATCAAAAAGAATTCCTGGAAAATTATAAAATAATTCATGCTTGAATGAAAAATTTTTCAAGTAAGACTGATTATTCTCCATTTCAAAATAAACTTTGTTAAAAACCAATTTTTTTGCTAATTTCATTTCAATTTTTTGTAAATCAAATATGTAATTAATATCGTTTTTTAAATCCAGATTTTTTTGATTATACTTTAAAATTTTATCATTCCATTTATAATTAATAAAATTAATATCTAGTGCTTGCACTACTGTTGAAATAATAAAATGTGTTTTAGAATTCAAATAATTCAAAGAATAATCTTTTATAAAGTTAAGACTTTTACATTTTTCAATTGGAATAGCCATAACATCATTTAAGAATTCATTATGTAATTTAATTAAAAATTCCACAATTACACATAAATAAATTCCACTATTTTTTTGTTCAACCAATCCAAAAATTACAGGAACGTCAAGAGTCATAAATGGTTTATCTAAAAGAAATTCTTTAGATTGATATTGATTAATATGACTAATAACAGAATTCCAGCTAAAAGCAAATTCTTCAAATAAAGATTTTAAATTAATATATTCACTATCATCAACTGATTCTTTCTTAATAAATTCATGAAATGTCATAATTTGAGCTGCTTTTCTAGTTAAATGATATTCAAGTTTAGAGTTTAGAATTTTCACAAATCTGATAATTGGATATAGATACTTAATCAGTTTTAATCTATTATAATGTTTAAAAAATACTGAAAGAAATGGATATTCATTTAAGTTTGCAATATAAAAAGTATATAAATCTTTAAAATCTACTTTTCTAACTGGCTTCCAAAGTTTAGGAAGTAAATTCATTTTCATATTGATAATTATTTCCATTTCAATAAAACCTTCATTCTCAAGGCATAAAAATTCTTGCATTAATATTTTAAATTGTTTTATATCAAAAGAATTTTGTTTATACAAATTCAGTATAAAATAAGTTTGCATCGATTGGATAAATAAATAGCCACTAATTTTCATAACATCATTAATTTCATTGATTAGTGATTTGGATAAAGAATTATCTTCTTGAAAATAATTCTTCCAGTATTTATTTATAAACTCTTTCAGAAATGCAATTGAAGTTATTTGTTGCAAAGGCAAATTTTCTTGCTTCATAAGTAAATTGATTGAATTCATAAAACATGGAAGAAATTCATTCAATTCAAATTTATTGAAAATTGTTTGAATTATTTCACAGCAAGACTCAGCCATATTCGAGTTGATGTCTTTAATATTATCATTAATAGTTTTCAATCTAAGTGATAGTTGTAAAGCTTTTTCAGGGTTCTTAATTAATATAAAGAATATTTGTCCATTCTGTTGAATTTCATTATTAAATATTTTTTCAATTATACCATTATTCATCAGTTTAAAAGAAAGTTGTGAAAATATATTTCTATAAAGAGTTAACCGAATTTCTGATTCCAAAGAAATAAATTTAAGACTTCTCGTAACGAATGATGTAATAGAAATTACATTATTGTTATTATCTAAATTATTAAATACTAAATTGATAATTTCAGTTGTAATAAATTCTTGCTTTTTGGCGGATTTTCCTAAATTAATAATTTCTTTGATTTTTTCTAATGGAATTAAACCAATTTTTAATAAATCGTTACATAAAAATAATAAGTGCAAATTCGAAGGATTCTTTGAATCATCAATTCTACAATCATATATTGATAAAATGACATTCATATCTTGTTTCCATAGTTTACCATCACATATATTTTGTAAGATCGAGTTAATTGATTCTTTGAAAAGATACTGATAAAGTTTTCCATATACAATGAAATCATTCTGGGCTTTTGTAATAAGATCTGGAAATGTTTCAACTAGTTTCAATTGAATTAAAATTTCTGTTGCATACTTCCACCAATAAATATGAAGAATAAATGGATCATCAGCAAATTTATCTCCAATTAAATATCTAAAAATAAAATCCAATTTTCCTTTACTAGCTAATTTTATAGAATAAGTTGATAAAATAATTCTAATAAATTCATTGTAGTATAATTCTGAGCATTTTTGCAAATTGTCAAAATTTGGATGAATAAAAATCAAGCTATTTCTAAAATCTTCGATATGGTCCTCAATTAATTCTTTAATATTTTCGGAGTCTTGTGTTAATATATCCAATTCTTCAAGATAATACCTTCTATAACAATTAATTAGAAAATAAAATGAAAAAGGAAATTCAAGGTCATTAACTATATCGGATGAAAATATTGATAACCTTAACTCCAATAAATAATCAATATTAACTATTTTATCAATAAAGGATTGTTTCCATATATGAACTACTTTTTCCATTTTAAACTCATTACTTTCATTATCGAAAATTCTTGTAATTTCCGGTAATTTTTCAATTGAATATAAGACCTTATAAATTGTATGCTTGATAATTATTTTTAAATAATTTTGTAGTGCTATTGAAAAACAAGTAAACATTGATGAATCCTTATTATTTAGAGCTGCTTCACATTGCCAATTTTTGTAATTCTTTAAAATCCATTCAAATGTTTTTATTTTAATACATTTTATGATATGTGAGTCATTTAAAATTTCTTTCCTTAATATTCTATAGAAATTAATAATATCATGTATTAAATTAATTGCAATAATACGAAATGAAGTAAAGAAAAATAAATTAATTATACCTAATAGGGTCCATATGACTTTCGTTAGAATGATAATGTTCTTGCAATAATAATTCCTCTAAAATTCTTTCAAATGGCATCGTTGAATTAACTATCTTATCAAAAAGTTCCGAATTAATTATATCATATAAAGATTTGTCAAGTAGATCTATTAATGGTATTTCCGGTGGTTCTAAAGATTCAATAGTAATTCTATTCCATCCGCAAATAAAGTTAGATGTTATCAAGCTTGGTTCATGATCTCGTTGAATATGAAATATTATACATGTGTATTTAATATGCATATTTGATTCACACTTCTCTTTCTTAGCCAAAAATTCATTTCGAAACTGTTCAATAATGTACTTTAATAATTTGATACATTTGGTATCAATAATATTAATATCGCATTGAAGAATTAAAACCTTATCGTTTGATTCAAAAAAGAAATTTTTCACTATATTTGTTATTTGAACTTCGGTCTTAATGGTCGATAAATTATACACTTGGCATCTTAAATAATCTTGTAAACAAGATTTAAAATTTATATTTATCTTAGAAAATGTGTTTATAATTACTAATTGTCCTATAGGATCCGCAGATAATTTTTCTTGATCAAATAAAGCGTCAAAATAATTGGAAAGGCCATTGTGATGATGTTGTTTGAAATAAACATATTTCCATCGATCAACTTCATCTTGATCTAAAATTGATAATTCTGCTCTTATAATTCCATCAGGAGATGCTATTGCAATTAGTGTTTCTTTGCATTTTTCTAAAATCTCATTATCATTAGCTTCAGGGTTATTAATAGTAATATGAAATATTAAACTTTGTAAAGTTTCATCTTTATCAAATCCAATGAATAAATCCTCTTGAGTGAATCTATTATGTAAGCCAGTCATCGAATTATTAGCTTTAACCAAAGTTGTAATTTGATTTGTCCAATTGTATAAATATTTTACAAGCAACTTTTGTCTATCATCAAGCATGTCATTCATCGATAATTTTTGTTTTTCAAATCGATTAAGAAGCGAAGGATCGACTGATGCAAAATTATTCTCATCCATAACAACAATGCATTTAAAATTTGGCGAAACATAACTATAACAAAACATAAATTAGAAGTTTTTTTTGAAAATGTATTTAAAAAATCATTTGAGTTTTCATATATTACTTACAACATAGGATAAGCATAGGCTCCAAGTGCAACACGTGTAAAGTAATTAATCTTTTCCTTCTCTTTTACTTCAATATAATTTTGATTCCATAAATCATAAAGATTACCTAGTATTAAGTTTAAATAGATTTTATTTCTTTGATTAATAATAGTTTAATTACTGTAAAATTATTAACAAAACTAATAAAATTAAAAAATTACCATAAATAATTTCTAAATCTGTTGATATCAATAATCTGCCTGTTTCGACACACATCTAAAAAAAGATAATATAAATAATGTATGATTAATAATATAATGAATAAGATGAAAAATGATTGAAATTATTTACGTACTATTATTCTATTTAAAACATTATAAGAGTAATCATCCCGATCATTAGGAAATTGTGATCCTAAAATTACAACTGAATCCAAATTTCTTTTTCTTAAATGATAAGTTAACAAATCTACAATTGAACCACTTTTACCAATAACCATTAAATGACGTGCATCTGAATCATTTAAATTTGAATCAATTAGTTGTTTGATTGGAATTTGTTTATATGGCCATGAATTATGATTATTAAGTATTTCTAGGACATTTCCAAAATATTTTTCGCATAATTTGACGTGATTTTGTGTTCCTCCAAAATTACGGGCTAATGCCATTTGAATATTTTCCGGAGTCATTTCGTTTATTGAAAGCCGTTTAACCAATGCATAATAATCACAAAGTCCGTGGAAGCTAGACAAAGCTTGATCATATTTTTCAAAATTTGAATATGCCTTAGCTAAAAATTCTAATGCAACTTTCTGTCCATGTCCAATAACTCTTGTATTTAATAAACATTCAGCAGTATCGACTAAATCATCTAAATTAGTTTGTGGCCTATAAAAAAAAAATCATTAATAAGAAAATTTAGCACATATAAACAAATTATAAAGATACCTTTGAACAATTAATGCGCGACTACTTTTAATATTATTTAGACGCCAATTACTAGATATCCCAATCACCGAAACAGTTGGTGAGTGGCTTGGTTCAAGCAGAGAATGAAGTACTTTTAATGGATTAAAAGGACTTGTTTCGGCCAAACCAACTAATAAAATAAATTCGGTCAACTTCAAATAAAAAAAAACCAACAAAATAATGTAATAAAGATCGTAAGGAAAATGAAATCACCATTATCAAGTAAAACAACACTAGCAACGGGAAATTGCTTGGAAGTCGTTTCTTGATATTTATTTGCCTTATCAAAAACTTTCATTATACCATCTGAAGTTGAAGACGAAGTGCATTGATATGGAATTAAGTAAATCTGTGGTAACGTTCTAAAATATTTATCATTCGAATCAGATCCACGTAAATTCGAATTTATTAGGCGAATTGCCAAAGACTTTGAAGAGCCAGATGCTCCTATAAGAAACAAGGGGATTTTTGTCAAAATGCACACGATCATGACTAAAACATTTTCTAATAAAGCTTCATTATGTGCCGTATTAGGCAGACATTGAATCCTGTTAATATAGTCCTCCTGTTCTTCACGTATAATTTTAGAAAACATATTTTCTTCAATATAAATTTCGTGATTTCGCAATATTTGTTCCATTTCATAACAATATTGTTTACGTAAATCTTGCTCATATAACCGAGAATGATAGCAAAGACTGAGTGCCAAAACATAAGATCTAGTCATTATTGTTGGATTACCAGGTGGTGGATAAGTATGTCCTTTCCTGTAAACAGGACGATTCTGAAGAGAATTATAAAAGAATTTCACCAATATAATAGCTCGTTCAGCATCATGTAAGCTCACACTATATCGTCCCTTAACTTTGCGGATGAATTTTTGAGAGGCAAATATAAGTTTTACAAATACATTTAATTCATCATAAACCATACCGGCAATGAATACGGTTTCATCTTGTAGATTCTGAATACCATAGTCGCAAACATAATCAAATATTTGATCAGGAAGTCGTTTAACTTGGTTTTCATCATATCTTTTGTCTTTACTTTCCTCACTTTGAATTCCTGTACGAAAACGGCATGGATTACAAGTAGCGAATAACCGAATATTTGGATGTATAGGCTTATCCTTAAATTTTTTATTAGATATTAAGTCTGCAAGTAATCCTAAATGATTACATGTATTTATTTCATCAAATAATATCCAAGTTTCACCTTTTTCTGCTCTCTTCAAAGCATCATTCATAAATTTCACAATGGTTTCTTCTTCAATTCCAGCATGAAGATTAAGAAACAAGAATTGAACTTGAACTTTACAATCAAATTTGGCAATAAAACTTGTCTAAATGATACAGTAAAAATTTGTCAATTACATTACTAATATTCAAATTGTAAATGATTTAAACAATTAAAACTTGCCTTTACACATCCCGCTTCACCACAAATTACAACCGGAATGTTTGCACTTACTCTTAAAAGAATTGAGATCACTTTCTTTATATAGTAATCAACAACAAAATAATTATCTAGAGATTCCAGATCTTCCGGAGGTACCTGACTTTCTAGCAATAATTTAATGTTATCAGGAACTTTATTCTTGTCATAATATAATATTAAGGGGAATTCTTGAGAATTAAAAAAAAACATATAAATGTTCGATTTATCAAGTTGAATAATCTCATTTTCATATTCAAAGGTTAAAGATTTAAGCTGATCATTTGCTTTAATAGATTGGATTACCAAATCTTTTAAGGTATTTAATAATATCTCAATTAATGTTGATCTGATATTAGCGATATAAGCGTTATTAGCGTCAGTCTCTCCCAACTTTTTTAATAATTCCGAATTGTTTATTGTGAGATTTGATGAGAATTTAATTAATTGATCCGCTAAAATATTGACACAAATCTCAATATGCCTAAACGACAATTTGATTCTGTCACTTCCACTCAAAATATATTTCATAATAAGATTTTGACATACTTCTTCTGATAAAGGATCTTTGATAAATTCTAATCCTTGAGAGAAAATTTCTTCAGTATCAATTTTTCTATTATCATATAAATTCAAAAAGTGGCAAACAACTTGAATCGAACTTGCTATTTCTTGAGATACTTTAAAGTCTTTGATATTCCAAGATAAATGTTTAAAAGGTAAATAACTTACAATAGCAAGAATATTAAGCAAATTATGCTTTATTGAAGAAGCTATTTCAATAAAAATAAAAGTTTCAGGAATTGAAACTATTACACTATCATGTAAAACTACTTTAAATGCCAATAATTCAAATAAAAATAAATTCACATCTTCAGGACAGTCGGTTGATAAAATATTGATATGTAAGCTTTGTGCATGTGTAAGATTGCATTTTTTAAGTTTATTTACAAGATATCTAAAGTCCATATTATCGCAAATTAAAAAACTAAACGGAATTTTTTGTTTAGAATAGCTAGATTCTTTAATCCATTCGGTTTTCCCTTGGCCGGACAAATCGGAAGAAACACACGTTATATTTGAAATTAATTCCTGATAAACTTTCCGCAATGTTGCTGCATTTAATTCGTTAATCTCTTGAACTTCTAAAGAACAATGATCTAAAATATAATTGGAACTTCCAGTTTGTTGACAACATAGAAGTGCCAATAGGTAACTTTCATTTGTATATTTCAATTGCATTTCTTTAACATAGTCTACTAAATAATATTGTAATTCAATATCTAACGATTCCAAATTTGCAATACAAAATAAACAATTTTCATATCCATTATTCGATGCGAATAAACTTCTTCTTATGAAATTTGCTAATTCTTCCATCGTAGTTGAAGTAGTACATATCAAAAGTTGCCACGGTTCGGGATAAGATCCATAATTAGCATATAATGACATGATAATATTTGGAGTTCGTGTTTTGTCAGTATAAGAAGCAACAAATAATTCACCCTTCCTAACTAGATCTATAATTATGCCTTGTCCAGTCGCTTTAAGTTTACGTGATTGTTTTGGAATACTCGTAAAAATTTTTTCTAATCCATTTCCAATTTCGCAAAGAACTTTGAAATAATCTTTAGATTCGCGTGAAATTCCTTGAATATCCTTATGAGATGGCAATTGAGCTTTGCTGTTTACAAATCTAATCAATATTTTGCATTCCTCTTCATTTTCTTCATCTGATTTTTCCGATGTGAAATAATCATAAAATGACAATACATGACGAGCAGTAAAGAACGTTAAATAATAACAAATTTCCTGCGCACGATCTATTATATCTTGCCTATAAAATTTGTAAAAATTAAATTATATCAATTTACTTGGAAGAATATAAAAGCAATTAAAAAAAAATTAAAAAAAGTTTCGTAACGTTTGTTAAAAAAATTGAAAATAGAAAATTTACCAATTTTTAAATTCTTCTTTTAACAGTTTCAGATAATCTTTCATATAATCTATCCCTTGCAATTTAATTTCAAATTTTATATAATCAAAATGTCCCACTTGTATTAGCAAGGTTACTAAGTTAATTATTTCTAGTGCAATATCAGCTTGGGCAATAAATTTATCCATAACGTCTTTGGACATTTCTGCTTCTTTGCTATTTATCATAACCATATTTTTCTGTTTTGCAATCAAAAGGGCCCGTCCACGTAAATTTAAAATTTCGTTTAAATTATATTTCAAATTAGATTTAGAGGGATATCGTAAAGAAACTAAGCATTTGTCTTCTTTTTGGTCACGTGTAAATGTAAAAGTTCCGTTAAGTACAGCATTCTTAATCTTTTCCTTAGTAACTTCTCCACGATTTTGAATATTATTGTACATATTTTGCAGCGCCATATTGCTACTGTTACATAATGCAATCTTCTCTCCTAAGGTATGGTTCTTCTTAATAACATTTAATAATTCTTTCAACAAATCAGAAATAGCTTCCATATTTTTATTCATAAGAGGAAATAAAAATTGTTTAACTTGGATGAGTGATGAAACAGTGTCCTCTTGAATTAATTTTTCATCCGAATGATCATCCACACCATTAATCAGATTTTTAATATCATGTTCAGCAATTTTCTTTAAGAAACTCAAAAATTCTTTAGCGCTTGACAACTCTTTTATCAATTTCCAACAATCTTGATCGACATTAGAAAGATTCCTATCAAGATGATCGAAAAAATTATTCATGGAGTCAAGTTTCAAGGAACCATCTTTTAAAATACGAATTGATTTTGATAGCCAATCGTCATCATTATATGGTACTTTGAAAATTTCCATGACTCTTTCTAGTTCTTCAAGTCGTTGGACCCAACGAGAAATTTTTGAAAGATGATCAAGGGTCTGCACAAATCTTTGACTTTTAGAGAATTCATGACCTTCCATCAAATCAAGCTCTGCACTAACATCAGTAACATTATTCCAAAGCAAAGATACTTCTGAACATTTGAGCTTTTCCCAATCCTTAAGTTGTTTACACATAGCATTATATTTTTCAAAAACGATTGGAATTAAATTTTGTGCTATGTACTCTACGTTTATTGCTGCAGCGTCTTTCTCAATACAAGAATCGAAGATATTTCGAAAAGTTTGGGATCGATTAAATTTGTAGCAATTTCTTGCACTGTCCATAGCTTTCTCATGGATTGCCAAATGATCTGATAAAAGCACTTGTTTCACCTTTGTTTTATCTAAATTTTGCAAATGTTGTTTTACATCTCGAATATAATCAGCTACATCTGTTACTTTATCGTTTGGACAAAATCCGTTATAAAATTTGGAAAGAATATCGAGTTGAATTTGATAATTATTACATATCTTTCTAAATTTTGCAATTTCATCTCGAGAAATGAACACATGATCTCCTAATGCTTTCTTCTTAGCAACAGCCGCATCAAAATGTCGAAATAGATATTCGTCATCATATTCTAAAATTTGTTGCAATAATTGGATATCAATAGTTTTCTCATGAAGAAATCCAGCAAGTTCGTTAATAGACGTTTTAATATTTTTAACAAATGGATTTGAGTTAAGTTTTGCGACGCTTCCAGTAGCGCGTAATATAATATTCCAAAATTTACTAGCCTTTAAAATATTCAAATAATGTTCTTTAGCGCTGGATACGGTCGATTGATTTTGTAATCTATTCATAATATAATATAAAATATCTTCGCTCATCCTAATGATTTATTAACAAACGATAAAAAAATTTAAAGCATTACACATATTTAGGAGAGAAAAATTATTACAAACAACTTACATATTTGGAACGCCTAGATTCTTGGTTATTTTGCAATCGCAAATAATGTGTATCTTGTTTAACAACTGATCATGAGTTTGTAGAGTAGACTTATTTAATATGTCTTTTACTATCTCTAAAAATAACACTTTAACATCATCTTTCTTTATTTGTACTATTAATTTTGTTGCAGAAAAGATTTGATTTTCTAAACAATTCTTCACTCTATCTTTTGCAATTGCTGTTAAATCTCGCCAAATATTAATCCTTTGACCAAGCAATGGATGCATAATTTCTAATTGTTGAAATACCGAAAAAATAAAATTGCTATTATTTGTCAATTTTTTATTGCTTGTGTTTGCATCAAGCTTTCGTAAAAGATTTTTAAACCAAATTGCACAAACTTTTGGTATCTTTTTCTCTTTGATATCTGAAAAATCACTACGGAACCAATCGTCTAAAATTTCTGGAAATATATTCAATAATTCCAAAGTATGTGACTGAGATATTAGCTCTAATGACTGAATAAATTCATCTCTGTGCCAATTCAGACTATTGTCATGAAGTAACTTTTTAATAGCATTGATGTTTTCGTATGTCCACTTTCTATTTGGACTTTCAAGTAAAAATATAACTTGATCTCGGAAAATTTCAGAGACACGGTCTCTATAATCTTTCGGAAGCCTTTTAAAGTGGCGTTCTAAAGCAACAGCTTCATCATGAGAAATATTTGCTCGAACACGTTCTGTAAAACATTTAGAAACACTTTCATCAAATTCATTATTATGTAAAAAAATATCATCCCAAAGTTTAAAAAGAGAGTCCATATTATGACATAACTGGATCAACCACTAAAAAATATAAAAATGTTTAATCAAAATCAAATTAGACCAAAATTTGAAAAAAATTTTGCATCAAATTTACCTTTGCAATTTCAACGTAAGATTCTAATTTAATGTTTTTAATATAAGGTTTAATGATTTTACATTCTTCAATAAATTTTGCTAAATTTTCATCAGAATATTTTAAAACTTTCAAATGCTTAATAAAAGTACAATTGGGATCAACTTCAATCATAATTTTAAAAATAATGAGCCAATCAAATTTCATCTGAAAAGCATTATGCTTGATTAAAGTTATGATAGCAGTATACATTTGATCTTTAGTGTCTAAAGGTAAAATTTCTTGCTTATAATTCTCAAGTGTATTAAGTAATAAGTTGGATGGGAAATTATTTGGTAATTTATAAGGAGAGCCCTCTCTTTTTGAAATATAATACCCTAAGAGAATACATAAGAATAACCGTTTTTCTTTAAGGTTATTATTAATTCGATTGATAATAAATTCTGGATTTGACGTGCGTATCGTTAGATCATTGTGAAGAGTTAATAAACGTTGATAGTCCACAACTTTGTCTTTAAAGTTATTAGCCTCGATAGAATCATAAATATAGTCTACAAAAGCAAATTCACGTATTTTCCATATATCAAAGTGATCATTTATCCCAATATTCAATGTGCGATTGTCTTGAGCATCAATTCCTTCAAATTCAATTTTTTCTTCTCCTCCAAATAACTTAGATTTAGACGTATAAATAGCATACTTATATTGAATTTTTTCAAAATTTGATACCAAAATGGTAACTGGATCGGATTTCCAATATGTTAGATTTTGAGGAAATAGTTGACGAAGTTTTACGATAGGATTTTTCCAGTATCCTAATTCTTTTACATTGCCAAGAACTACGGGCTGCCCATTTCTTTCAATGTTCTCTGGCAAAAGAACATGAAATGTAAATGTATTATTTTCCATACGGCTTCTCTTCTATAAGAACGTAAAACCAATAAAATAAAATTAAATTACAAAAATAAAAAAACTTGATTAAATATAAGGCTGAAATCATGTATCGTACAAGACTCGTGCAATCTGCTGTGCAATCTGCTGATTATACGCAGATCACTATATACAGGGAAAATGGCGCTAGATAAGTTTCACAATAACATCTTTTCTTTAATTGTATCAACATCATTCTTAAATGACATCATTATTCTATTTCAATCTCTCAACTTGGCTATACTAATTTCGCCCTACTTCCCAGGTCCGATTGCGAATGATAATAGATGGAGAGTAGAGGAGTTGGATCAAGTATTTAGTATATTTTTTTGAATATATTGTATTTGTATTTTTTATAAATAAATAAAAAGTATGATCCAAAAAAAAAAAATTAAAAAAAGTTATCTAAATATTAAATTAAATCTATAAAACAGATAATTTGTAACGTTTAGATTACCTTTCAACCTTACTTCCATTGGCCAGTTTATTATGTGACGTTAAACAGGATAATCTTATCACACACCTCGTGACATTTTATGCAAGTGACAAATAGAGATCAGACCACAAAAAATTGTCGCTGAGATAAATATAAACAACGCGTCCGACACCATCACGTGACCAGGTGACAAATCATCACCTGTACTACGCGAGGTGGTGTATACGCCGATCATGCAACGGGTTGATTGTTTAAAAAAAAAGTATCAAATAAAATGAGTCTATCATAAAAATAATTAACATATAATAAAAAAAAAAATAAATATGAAAATAAAAATAATAATTAAAAAATGTATCATTAAAATTATTTAGATTCGTATGTAGATTTAATATTTTATCATCATTTTACTAATGAGATTTTTTATAAATTTGATGTACGGCGTTATATATTTTTTAAGTACTTTCAATTTTTCATTTATCTTAAATTTAAATAATGCTTCAAAAAAAAAAATGGGATAAAGGATCAAAAGGATCATCAAGAAACTTCCAAAATAGTATTAGATACTATTGTTTTGTATTACGAATAAAATATGAATGTTCATTCTTAAAATGAAAAAAAAACTCCACACTCCTTGTTAATACCTACTTACCAATCCCTATAAAAAAAATCCATAAGAGATGTTAGTTATTTTATCGTTAGGTTTTAAAAAATTTGATCAACATGCATGATCGGCATCAATTTCGTATTACAGATCTTGAAATTTCACTTTATTAAAAAAGTTCAATATACTGAATCAAAATATTTTAATCATTAAATTTTTTTGCAAATATTTTTTTAATGATGATATTTTTATAAAAAAATTACACAAACAATTTTTTTGTTAATATCATGCATAAAATGATTTAAATTTTATGAAAATAGACAATTTACAATAAATTTTTATGACGATAAACTGTGATTTAAAAATGGTCAAGATTTTTTTTTAAAAAAAAAACTATAATGAATATGCTAAAAAAGAGGATATTTTGATAAAAATTTTTTTTCTATGAAAAAATAGATTTTTATTTACGTTTATTATGCAGAATTATTATGCAGCCAAATAGGATCATGTTGTTTTTAACATACTATCATTGCGTAAATATCTTTGATATTTTTGACGCATTACGTCATATAGATTATTATCACACATTTACTATGCTTTTCATATGGAACATGATCTTGGACGTCTGCATAATAACACAGTTATTAGGTAGGGGGGTTAAAATATCATCCGAACTGCTTCGCAGTTCGGTGATATTTCAACCCCCCTACCCAATAACTATTATATATCATTCATATGCCTATGCTGTTAAACATAAAATTACTCCAAAAAAGTTAAGCAACATTTTTCGGCATTCTCTAATGATGTAATTTTTTGCCGAAGTTGGTGAAACAAAAATATAAAAGTTATGTGTGACATGAGGATGTAATAACCGCGTAATCTTTACCTAAATAAGTTAATCAGACATTGTTCATATGCAATTTTATGCATTGGGTAGATTATTTTTAATAAACCAAATATTAGTCCAAATAATGAGAACCAATATTAATGAATTTACTCAATTTTATTATCTAATTATACGTTAGCAATATTTATTATCGATATATATATAAAAAATAAATGGGTAACTCATCAAAATTTATAAAGGCACTTGGAAAGTTGGAATGACTGATAGTTCCGCAAAGCGAATGAAGCAAAAAATCTATCCGATCTTATTCTCTGATTCTAAAATTCTTCCGATAAAATATTTAATTAAGACAAATATCTTGTTTATTATTTATTCTACCTAATGCTAATTTCATCTGATTAAACATCGGATCAGGTAAATTTCATCATAAAAAGGACAAGTTTCTTTCATCATTAATTATTGAACAAATTAATACCAAGTTTCATTTAAATTAAATATTCAAATATAATACTTACTTTGATCAATATTTAATTCTTTGGTAAAATAAATTGAATATTGTTGGAAATTATACTCGATGATTGTACATTTTCCTATAAAATTAATAATCTACTCAATAATATGATTTGTAATACGCGTATAATTTTTCTGCGCAATAGTACAAGTGTTTGATAGTCGATAAATCAAAAAAAAAATCTTTTTCGTTCCAATATTATCTTCGCTCACCCAAAGAAATATTATCTCCCTTATAAAAAAAGAATGTCCGGAAATTGTTATCGAAAATGTCCAGAAAATGTCTGGTGTCTAGAAAGTGTCCGGAATATTGCAATTTTCCGGACATTTTCGGTGACAATTTCTGGACATTCTTTTTTTATAGGGCTCCTTATTTCCTACTTATAAAAGTTATTAAAATATTATCCCTGCTCATTGTTTCACGCAAAATACATTATCTCACGAGAGGATCTTATTTAGGTACTATTTTTATGTGAATATTTAGAGTAATCAAAGATAATAATAATAAAAATATTAGAAAATATTTAAATATTTTTATAGGCGAAGAAGTCAATATGATAATAATAAAGAGAATATGTTGGCTTTAAAGCCTAAATAGTTTGAGTATCGGGAAAAAGATTTAACATTAAAAGAACGTGAATTTGCCTTAAGGGAATTTGAAGCAAAAATTCGTGTAACGGAATTGTCTAATTGTGAAAAAGAGCGTCAATTGAAATTGACCAATTTGGAAATAGTATTAATTAAAAATACCTTACACAATAAAAATTTTCTGTTTATACTCTTCAATTTTAAGTTTTATGGCAGTTGAGTATGAAATTTTATATAAATACAATACTTTTTTCATTCGATGATATACAGTTGAGTGAAATATACTATACTTTTTTTGGTTAACCCGACACCACTCCTTTTCGTCTTATCGAGAATGACATGCGCATTAGGTTTGCAAATTATACAATGATGTATGTATAATAAAAAAAATCACTGTGTTATATGTGTAATACAAATAATAAATCAGTCGGTTGTAAATTAACCATAAATATACTATATATGATTTTTGTCAAATCTGGCCAAATTTCTTCTTAATTCCGGCCAAAATTTAACTTATCATTCAAAGATCAATGCTGCGTCACAAAATTTTTAGTTTAACTGTGCATTTTAGATTTCTTTCAATATGTTTTGACATTTTTTTTTATTAGTATATAATATACCAACTGTATGCATTTTTTTGTTTTTCATTAATAATAAATAAATAAGTTTTCGTAACATCACAATTTTTATGTATTCAATTTAAATTACAGCATAAACACTATAAAAATAATTTTACGAATTTTATAAATTTCTTTCTTTATTTTTAAATGTTTAATTTACATTTGCCGAAAATTTCTTTAAAGATTTATACTATTACTATTACGCGACATTGCGGCGGATTTATGAAATTAAGCAAATATTTGGTCACCAAATTTACAGAAATGAACCTTAAAAAACTTTTGTGTATCCCAGAACTTGCGTCTAACCAATTTTTCCAATTTTTTCCTCTGTGGGTGGTGCTTCAAATTTGACACATTAATACTAGAGTATACATTCGACCAGCAAATTGTTTATATTCATACCAATACAATAATGGCCGATGATAAGACTGGCGATAATTTATGTTCTTTTTATAATAATAAAAGATTTAAAAATATCCCTTGTAATAAGTGCGGTTCATGGGGGTAATTTAAAGTCTATTTCCTTATTTCCTTCATTTCATGTACTTATGAAATTAATTTAGAATTTTTATTTATATACGACTAATACTTTTTTTTTGTTTTTTAAATGGTATTTGTTACCGATTTATTAGTATAAGATGCAGTACTTACACCGGCAAATGAGTATAGCCTACATTTATGTATAGATGCCACTCCTGCCATACCAAACCTTTGTTACTACGAACAAAGTTACTGACCTACTCCTTTAGTTCGGCTATTATATTGCTAACAGCTACACCTTTTTTACTAAAAATTAAATTAACTACATCGTGGTACTTACGTACATTTGCTGTAAAAGAAAAAATTTCACTATCTACGATATCTAGCAAAAAATCCATATTCACGAAGACTATCCTAAAAACTTAGCACCCTATTCACACCTGATAATACTAAACCTTTTCGTTATCAGTTGCCCTGATCTTCTTTGGCCTATCCACAGGCTTTTCTATTTCCACTCTTTTTATCTTGTCTTCCTTTGCCAGACGTTTAGCCATTTCTTTATTGTTAGCGTCAAACTCCTCAACCTCTTCTTTGCTAGGGACCCAGTTAGAATTATACGGCTTGAACTGTGAAACCATCTTTATCTCCACAATTTCGTTTATCACCAAGTGATGCGTGATCTGATTCACCTACTTCCATTCCCTTGTACTGAAGCTCCCTATATTCATTAATGAAATCAACCATGTCTTCCTCTGTTACCATTTCTTTGTTGACAAGACGTTCAATACATTCTTCTTTTTTTTTAGTATCGTCCGTCTCCTCTGGCTGATATGATTGAAAGTCTATCCCTAAGGTCTTTAATAACGTCCACTACTTCCTCAGGTTTGACGGAAGTATGTATCACCTCTTTACTCATGTTCATCTCCTTTTCCAAGAGCCTATCCAAGCCCCACTCATGACGACCTTGAACATTATCCGAGCCCACTGATCCAAATGATAATTTTCGTTCTTACCATTCGAATAACGCCTGTCTTCCGTTCTTTCTGCTCTTTGGTCTACTTGATCTTTCACTCCGCTGAATGTGTAAAACGTCCATTTTGTTCCATCCCCTTTTTCTGCCGCATTCGAAAGTGTATCCTCCATGTCCTTTTGCGACTTAAAATAAGTCAGTATTTTCCAGGACCGGACTTTATTACCTTCGAAAAAATGATCTTAGGATATGATGCCGTAAGAGCCTTAAGGAATTTCACCTCTCCTCCGCCACTTCTATTCTTTCTTTCTCAGATACCTTCTTCCATAACTGCCACTTATCTCGTTCCCGTCTTTCTTTCACCATTGATTTCCCCTTGTACTGTACCACCGTATAAAGCATCCACTAACAATGATTCCAAAATTTCCACTCAAAAACGATCTATCAAAACGGTCATGTAATTTTATCTTTATTTTTATCTTTTGATATTTGTACTGTTTCTTGATCGAGATTGACTATACCTTATCACTTATTTTCTTTACCATGTCTTCAACTTGAACTTCGTTCCATCTCTTCGGTATGTCGTACAAGAATATATCTCGAACATGAACTGCTTTTACGTCATCGTCAGGTGGGAGCACTGGTAGATCGATAGGAGATTCTTTTTCTTGATTTTTTTGTACTTCTGATTGGTATTATCGTTGTTCGACGTTATCTCTGCTATTATTCGTTCTTTTTCCTTAACCTCCAATTCCCTTTTTCGCCTTATCATTTTTTTCCGCTTGCCGCAGCCATCCTCCAAACGAAGCATTATTTTTCCAAAGCGAGTGTTATCCTTTTCATAGCTTTCATAAGCTATATCACCACAAACCTTTATATTAGCTCCGTTATTTCCGCTCTCGTGTTAGTTTTTTTCCTAAATCTTCGAAAAGACTTTCTTTTACTATTGTATTATCGAAGTTACAGCTTATTTTGTCATAGGCTTCTCTTGTACTTTTTCTACCTATGTTTCTATATTTTGACAAAGCGTAACTTATCGCCTTGTAGAACCTTTTAAAAACTCTTTCTTTTTAATATTGTTTCCATATTACGTCTGTTGATGAAAACAAAAACTTTTAACTACAAAAAAAATTTTTTTCTTTTTACTGCAGATTTATAGTAAAAAAAAATATGAGTTTATCATAAGCAGTGCTTAATTAATATCACATGCTGATCAATTGAATTGACTAAGCTTTTTTATATATATACTTAAAATCAATTGAAATGACGGACAACTTTTGATAAATCCACTAATCCACCATGATTTTTATTTTTATTTACTAAAAAATTAAATTTAATTTTTAAGAATACTAAATATTAAAAAATAACAAAACTTTAGACAGTTAAAATGTGTAAAAAAAAGAACCCCGAGCAAGGCCGGATATCAAAATATGGCCAAATATCAATTTTTTCTTAAGAGCACCTATATTTCCCGTTGTCAAATTTGAAAGTCTAAAGTGTTAATTTCAAAGTTTTATGCGTTAGGGCTTGATTTGGATCATTTTAAAAATTAAATCTTATTTTTATCTCGAGTGTAGATATTTAATATTTTAAAATAATGAACAGTTTTTATTATATATTATTCATATTTTGGCTTATTTTATTATAAATCATATAATAATTATTAATTAATAGTCATGTTAAAGGCTAGAACTTTTATTTATTGAATTTTAATAATGTTTACAAATAAATTTATAACAAGACTACTATGTTAATAATACAAATAAATCTTTCAACTTGTATACTTTTTATGTTTTTTGTATTTACCTCTTCTACTATTTTGCCTTTCATTCATTGTTTTCTATTAAAATAAATTAATATAACAATAAGTCAATAAGTTAAAAATAAATTAAAACATAATAAATAAACATATTTTAATATAAAATACAATACCTCAATTTCTTCAACAATAAAATTATAACTATTATAAGCATGAGATACTAACAAACAAGTAGGAAATAATTTTTCAACTGATTCTTCATAAACATCACTCCATAAATTTAAAGTAAAATCTAAAAAATATGTATTTAAATTTAAATTTTCAATATTAAAATCTACTAATAAAAATCTATAAATGAATCTTTTTAAAGCAAATGCAAATGCTTTAGCAGGAATACGTTGTTGATTTTGATTTTCTGAATCATCATAATCTATGATATTTTTAATTGAATCCTTCATTTGTTGTGTTAACGGAGTTTTAAATTTTTCATCAATCTTATCGATTATTGAATTAGCAACTTGTTCCTCAATTAATTCATAAAATGATATAATATGTTTTAAAGAAAATTCTTTAAGTATATCTGCATATGTTATATCATACCTCATTAACTTTAACCATTGATCAATTAAATCTAAAATAAGTATATTATTATGTTTAATTGATAATTCTTTGATAAAACAAAGAATGGTTTCAAAAAGAGAGATTACTTCAGGTAAATCAATTGAATTTGATGAATTATATAAAGATTTTGATGGATCAAGCAATGCTAAAATTATTAATCTTTTCTCTTCTGAAATAGGTTCCTGTGGTAATATATTTTTAATTTCAAAAAGAATTCTTGGAGAATAATAAAATAATTCATGCTTGAATGAAAAATTTTTTAAATAGAATTGATTATCTTCCATCTCAAAATAAACTTTGTTATGAATTAACTTTTTAGCCAATTTCATTTCAATTTTTTGTAAATCAAATATAAGATTTTTATCATCCTCTATTTCCAAATTTCTTTGATTATATTTAAAAATTTTATCATCCCAATCATAATTAATGAAATTATTATCTTGTGCCTGATCAACCTTTTTTGGTATGATGAAATATGTTTTAGGAGTTAATTTATTAAAAGATGAATCCTCTAAAAATTTAAGGTATTCACATTTTCCAATAGGAATTGCTATTATATTATCCAAAAATTCATTATGTAATTTAATTAAAAAATCTACAATTGCACATAAATAAATTCCATTATCTTTTTGTTCAACTAATCCAAATATCACAGGAAGATCAAGATTCATAAATAGTTTGTTATGAGGTAATTCTTTACATTGATATTCAAAAATATAATTAATAATATAATTCCAACTAAAAGCAAATTCTTCAAATAAAGATTTTAAATTAGCATTAACATAATCATTATCATCTGCAGATTCTTTCTTAATAAATTCATGAAATGTCATATTTTGAGCCTCTTTTTTAGTTAAACGATGTTCAAGTTTAAAGCTTAAAATTTTCACAAATCTGATAATTGGATAAAGATGTTTCATGAGCTTTAAACTTTCATGATATTTAAAAAATATTGAAAGAAATGAATTTTTGTCCAAGTTTCTAGTACTAACTTCAAAATTTATTCTTTTAATTGGTTTTAAAAGTTTAGAAAGATAAGTTATTTTCTTATCCTTACAATCATCTAACCATGTAAATTCTTCCTTAACAATCTCATGTTGTTTTATATAATTAAAGGAATTTAATTCTAATGCAAAATAAGATCGAATAGATTGAATAAATGGATTATCATTATTAATTTTCATAATATCATTAATTTCTTTGATCATTGATGAAGATAATGAAAAATATTTCTTCCAAAATTGATTTATAAATTCTTTTAAAAATGCTATTGAAGTTATTTGTTGTAAAATGAATATTTGCTGTAAAAGCAAATCTTCTTGTACAAATGATTCAATTGCATACTTGAAGTAAGGTAATAATTCATTGAATTCGAGTTTACTGAAAATCTTTTGAATTATATTACAGCAAAGTTCTGCTATATTTGAGTCGATATCTTTAATATTATCATTAATAGTTTTTAATCTAATTGATTGTAAAGATTCTTCAGGATTCTTCATTAGCATAAAAAATATTTCCTTATTCTGTTGAAATTCAATAGTAAATATTTTTTCAATAATACTATTCATTAAGATGAAAGAACTTTGTGAAAATATATTTTTGTAAAGAATTAACCGAGCATCAGATTCTAAAGGGATTAGTTTAAGATTTCTTGTAATAAATGAAATAAATGATATAATTGGAGTTATATCATTATTATTATCATCTAAACTATTAAATACCAAATTAATAATTTCAGCTGTAATAAATTCTTGTTTTTTGCCGGACTTTCCTAAATAAATAATTTCTTTGATTTTTTCTAATGGAATTGAATTTATTTTTAATAAATCATTACATATAATTAAATTTGAAAATTTTCCAAAGTCATCATCAATCTCTTAAGTTACGGATAAAATGGATAAAATATAATCCATGTCTTGTTTCCATGGTTTATCATCACATATATTTTGTAAAATCGAATTAATTGATTCACTAAAAAGATCTTGAGCAAGTTTACCGTGAACAACGAAATCATTTTGAACATTTATTAAAATATTTGGAAAAGTTTCAACCAATTTTAATTGAATCAAAATTTCATTTGAATATTTCCACCAATAAATATGAAGAATAAATGGATCAATAATTTTATCTTCAGTTACTTCAATTAAATTTCTTAAAATAAAATCTAAATTTTCTTTACTAGGCAATTTTATAGAATAAGTTGATAAAATAATACTAATAAAATCATTATAATAGAATTCCGAATATCTTTGTAAATATTCAAAATATGGATGTATAGAAATCAAATTATTTTTAAAATCTTCTATATGATCTGCATACGATTCATTATTAATGTTTTCCGAATCTTGTCTTAATATATCTAATTCTTCAAAATAATATTTTTCATAATAATTAATTAAATTCATAAAATAATATGAGAAAGGAAATTCAAGATCGTTAATTGAACGTGACATTATATACATGGAAGGTTTTGGTTCACATAAATTATCTATATTAATAATTGAATTGTCCATGAAGAATATTTTCCAAAATTCTGATAATTCTTTTTTCACTTTTGATTCACCATTTTCACTATTGAAAAATGTTGACATTGCTGATAATTTTTCAAGTGAATATAAAATCTTGGAAATTGTTTGCTTAATAATTATTATTACATAATTTCGTAAAGCTAATGAAAAGCAAGTAAATTTTGATGAATAATTCTTCCTATTTAAAGCCACTTCACATTGCCAATTTTTACAATTAGTTAAGATCCATTCAAAGGTTTTTGTTTTTATGCATTGTATGAAATTTGAATTATTTAGAATCCCTTTGCTCAATAAACTACATAAAAAAAAGGCAATATATATATATATTAAAAAAAATTTAATATCTTATTAATAATTAAAATGATATCACAAATAAAATTAATATACCTGATATAATTTTCATAACCTTCATTAGAATGTTGATATTCTATACATGATAAGCACCATAACAACTCATTTTGTAAAATCTTTTCAAATGGCATTGTCGAATTAACTATCTTATCAAAAAGTTTTGAATTAATTACTTCATATAATGATTTATCCAATAAATCTATTAATGGTATTTCTGGTGGTTCTAAAGATTCAATAAAAATTCGTTTCCAGCCACAAATGAAATTAGATAATAATGAATTTGGTTCATAATCTTGCTGAATATGAAATATTAAACACGCATATTTAATGTGTTTAGTGGGATTATTCGTTTTGAATTGTTCATTTTTGGCCCAAAATTCATTTTGATATTGTTCAATAATGTGTTTTACTAATTTAATACATTTAGTATTAATAGTTTTAATATCACATTGAAGAATTAAAATTTGATCTGTTGATTCAAAAAAGAAATTTTTCACCATATTTGAAAATTGAGATTCAGTCCTGAATATCGATAAATTGTACGCTTGATATCCTAAAAGATCTTGTAAACAAAACTTAGAATTTATATTAATTTTAGAGAATGTGTTAACAATTGTTAAATGCTCTTTTAGATTCGCCAATGAATTTTCATTTTCTTGATTAAGCAAAGCGTTAAAATAATCATAAAGACTATCATGATATTGTTGATGGAAATAAACCCGTTTCCATTTATTAAATTCATCTCGTTCTATGGTTGATAGTTCAGCTCTTAAAACTCCATCAGGAGATGCTATTGCAATCAAGCATTCTTTGCATTTTTCTAAAATCACTTCGTCTTTAACTTCAGGATTATTCTTAATAATATTAATAACTAAGCTTTGTAAGGTTTCGTCATCGTCAAATCCAATAAATAATTCTTTCTCGGTAAATTTATTGTGTGTTTGAATATCTGAATTAGATTCAAACGAAGTTAACATTTGGTTTATCCAATTAAATAAATCTTTTACGATTAACATTTGTCTTTCATTAAGTATATCATCAATCGACACCTTTTGTTTTTCAAATCGATTTAGAAGTGGAGGACCAGCTAAAGGCAAATCCATCTCGTCCATAACAAGAATGCATTTAAAATTTGAAGGAACGAAACTAATAAAATATAAATTAATAAAAAAATATTAATTTCAAAAAAATTACATTTAAAAAAAAAAATAACTTATTTAACATGATATAAAATCCTTACAGCGTAGGATTGTCACATGCTCCGAGTGTAATCCTTGTAAAATATTTGGCATTTCCATCATTTTCTATAATGACATAATTTTGATTCCATAAATCATAAAGATTTCCTATTAAACATCAAAATATCTGGTTAATTACAATTAAAATATATCATATCCGTCATTAATCGTTAAAGTAAAAAAATTACCATATATCATTTTCAAATCTGTTAAAATCAATGGTCTGCCTGTTTTAATACATAACTAAAAGTACAAAATGGTACAGTATATGTAAATTTAATATGTTGAAATAAAGTTCGTTTCATATATGAAATTAATTACTTACCGTGATCTTGTTTAAAACACTATAATAATAATCATCCTGATCATTAGGAAATTGTGATCCTAAAATTACAACTGGATCCAAATTTCTTCTTTTTAAATGGTAAGTTAATAAATTTACAATTGAATCGCTTTTTCCAATAACCATTAAATGACGCGCATCAGAATCATCTAAGTTTGAGTCAATTAATTTTTCGATTGAGATTTGTTTACAGGACCATGGATTATCATCATTATTGTTGGTTTTAATAAAATCTCCAAAATAAGTTTCGCATAATTTATCACTACTCCCCATTCCCCCAAAATTACGAGCTAATGCCATTTGAATATTATCTGGAGTCACTTCATTTAATGAAAGCTGCTTGATTAAGGCGTAATAGTCACGAAGACCATGAAAATTTGGTAGGGTTTGACCGTGTTTCTCATAATTCAAATATGCTTTAGCTATAGATTCTAATATGGATTCTAATTCAATATTTCTTGCAAGGAAAAATTTGGTGACACTAACTAAATTATCCATATCAAACTGTGGTCTAAGGAAAATAAAATTATCAGTAATAGATAAAATATATTACATAAGATTCAACAATTCATTTTTTAAAAAAATAACATACCTTTGAACAAGTAATGCACGACCACTTTTACTAATGTTGAGGTGATTATTAGATATTCCCACCACTGAAACAGTTGGCCAAATGGCTGGATAATTTGGTTCAAGCAAAGTGTGAAGCATTTTCAAAGGATCGAAGGGACTTGTTTCGACCAACTCAACTATCAAAACAGCAGTAAAAATAATTTGTATTAAAAACATAAAAAAAAGTACGTATATTGTAATAATATTTACCATTCTCAAGCAAAACCACGCTAATAACTGGAAATTGTTTAGAATTTATTTCCTGATATTCATTAGCTTTATTAAACACTTTGATTATATCATCTGAAGTTGTAGACAAAGAAACTTGATGGGAAAATAAATAAACCTATTTATAATATAACGTAATTAACAAAATGGACGTAATTCATATATGTATCATATATAATATACAATACCCGTGGTAAAGTTTTAAAATATTCATCCTCGGAATCTGATCCACGTAAATTTGAATTTATAAGACGAATAGCTAAAGATTTAGATGAGCTGTTATAAAATAAATTAAAAATATTAAGTAATTATATTAAGAAGATTATAAATAATATAAATTAATAATTATAATTAACATACCCCGTTTCTCCAATAATAAATACAGGAATTTTAGTCAAAATACAAACAATAGTAGCCAAAACATTTTCTAATAAAGCTTCATTTTTGGCAGTATTCGGAGGACATTGCATTCTATTTATATAATCATCCTGTTCTTCACGAATAATTTTGGAAAACATGTTTTCTCCAGTATTAATTTTGTGATCTCGTAATATTTGTTCCATTTCACAACGATATTGCTTACGTAACGCTTGTTTATATAACCGAGAATGATAACAAAGATTAAGTGCTAGAATATAAGATCTAGTCTTTATTGTTGAATTACCAGATGGTGGGTATATATGTCCCTTTTTATAAGCCGGTCGATTCTCAAGAGAATTATAAAAGAATTTCGCCAACGTTATAGCCCGTTTTATATCACGTAGACTAACACTATATGATTCCTCTACTTTTCGTACGAATTTTTGAGAAGTAAATAAGAGTTCAGAAAATACGGGATGTGCTAAATTATTTTTTAATTCTTTTTCAACCATAATTTGAATATATTTGTACTCATCATTTGGTTTTATGATACCAAAATCCCAAACATAATCCAAAATTTGATCAGGAAGTGGTTTGACTTGATAAACAAGATTAATTTTGTTTTCAATAACATGTCTTGCCTCACTTTGAATTCTTTTACAATGACGGTATGGATTACAAGTAGCGAATAACCGAATATTTGGATGTATAGGCTTATCCTTAAATTTTTTATTTGATATTAAATCTGCAAGTAATCCTAAACGATTACATGTATTTATTTCATCCAATAATATCCATGTTTCGCCTTTTTCTGCTTTTTTCAAAGTATCATTTATAAATATCATGATAGTTTCTTCATCAATTCCGGCATGAAGATTAAGAGTACATAGTTGAACTTCAACAATCATGGCTAAATATGTAATCAAACTTGTCTAAATAATGAATGCAATGGAAATTAATTAATAGTAAGTAATATCAAAATTGTAAAACGATTTAAATAATTAAACTTACCTTGCTACATCCCGCTTCACCACAAATTAAAACGGGAATATTTGCACGTACTCTTAAAAGAATTAAGGCCATCTTCATCAGATTATCAGTAGTTAAAGCATACTCTGGAAAATTCAATTCTTCATTTGATCTACGTGCTATTGTTTCCAATTTTATAAGAAGTTCAGTTGTAGTCATCGTATTATAATCTTCTAATTCCTGACCATTTAACAATAATTTGATGTTATCGGATACTTCATTCTTATTATTATATAAAATATAGGAGCTTAAAGTATAAGGATTAAAAAAATAAATATTATAATTTGAATTATCAAATTGGTAAATCATATTCTCATATTCAGAA